TTACTTTTATGAAATGCCTATCTAAATAATATCTAAAGATCCATGAAGGTTTAAAATTCTGATTCTACGATGTGAATAATCTACATAAGGTCACTTTAACTTCTTGACTTTGAAGAGGTATTGCTCTATTTTTTGAAGTTTAGACATACTGCTGTTCCTTCCAGAAGACAACTCCCATCCCTAAACATGCACCCGATCACATGTCACGAATAACACAGCTTAGGTTAAGCTACAAAATTAAAGTATAAACTGTGGTAGATTTGGTAAGACCTAACTCTGGGGACTTTGTTTAAAAAAAGTCAAATATTACACATACATGTTTTTTGCTTGTTCGATTTTTCAATGAGCTCTGCCCCTGCAGATCAAGGGAGCTTAAGGGAAGAAACCTACATAAACACAAAGCAAAAACCTGAGCTTGTGTGTAAAGCTACTGCATGGAGCGAATGGGGTTTAACTCCTGGCACTGGCAGCTTGTTGGAGAATTACAATATGTTGGCGTGAGTCTCTAGGTCTCATTGTTCCAGATGAGGGAGTCAGTCTTAAGAGGGTTTGGCACTGAAGGGAAAAAGGAGTGAGAGTTATAGGGAATGAACAGGCCCTAAAGAGGCAGGATGCTGTTGTAACAATGGCTGGCACAGTTGGGGGGGCCATTCACCAGTGGGGATTGCCATAGGCATTGATGTGAAGAAACATATGTGAGCAAAAGAGGCAAGGGTGAGAAAGGAAAATCAAGCAAACATATCAGAAGGGTCCTGATGGCAGAAAGAGACAAAAGTAATCCAATTAGAGTCATCTTAATATTAACGGATTGACTGATGAGGATATCTGTCATCACCCTCTAATTTATCTTATAGCTTATTTCTTACCATTTATTTTATTTTTTTTTTTAATTTTAAAATATGTACGTATTTATATTTCCCCTAAAGACACAGATCCTTGAATTAAAAGGCCCTGGTTCTGGGTGCCTGGGTGGCTCAGATGGTTAAGCGTCTGCCTTCGTTCCGCTCAGGTCATGATCCCAGGGTCCTGGGATCGAGTCCCGCATCGGGCTCCCTGCTCCTTGGGAGCCTGCTTCTCCCTCTCCTTCTGTCTCTCTCTGTCTCTCATGAATAAATAAATAAAATCTTTAAAAAATAATAATAAAATAAAATAAAAATAAATAAATAAAAGGCCCTGGTTCTGTATTCCCTCTGTTCTACTCTCTGGCTAAGTGATGCTGGGAAAAGCATCTTTCTGAGCCTTAGTTTTCTCATCTGCAAAATGGTGTAATAACAACGCATACCATTGACAATGCTGTTGCATCTGACAGCATTATATAAACTGAAATGCTATGCAAAAATAAGAGCTACTGTTACCTCTCTCACTTATTTTAATATAGGGAGCACTAATTTTTATTTTGACAGCAATTGCGATACTTCAATGTTGGAGAGAAGTAACTCTCAGGAGAATCTTTAAAGGTGCTTATAGTAAAACTGTGGCATATCTTAATGTGAAAATGATGGATAATCCAGAATTTGAACTTTTGGAAAATAAGTATGTCCACAAACATACTATACATACTCACAGTATAAAATACAATTCTACACATATTTTAAAAAATCGCATCTCATTTTAGAAAATGGAATATTTAATAGATAACTACTATATTTTTTAGTCCATAAACACTGAAGCAACACTTACATAATTGTGTCAAATTTCACCTTAATCACATTCACACATTTAATGAACAGGTGTATTATAAATATTGGGATTTTGCCATTTGGTCTTTTACAGTTCTAGTCATTTATATTCTCTGGGTTCTTTACCATCTTCAGAGAAATTCAGTCATTAGTACCCATGCATCCACTGTGTTCATTATGACCATTGTGAACTCATCATTAACTGTCTTCATTAACATCCACGGTGAAATCATTTCTTAACCACCTCTTCATGAATGACCAGTGGAGACAAGCTACAACAGTAGCCGTTGGAGGAATACTGGACGTGGATTTGCTTAAAGCTCTTTATTTTATAGTATTTCAGATAGAGAGGTGAAGTGGGTGAAATGATACACTTTTGGTCCCCCTGACTTTGGGATCCAGTAGGTTGAACTTAGCTCCCTATGGGCAACTTCTCAAAATAATCTTCTGAATTAGATATTGGTGCCTTTGTTTACCACTTAAGAAACCAAAGCTTAGGGAAATATCTAATTCAGAAGATTATTATGAGAAGTTTGAGATACCACATGTAAAGGACCTGGTACACTGCTTAGCACTTAGCCCTCAAAATAGTAGCTGTCATTATCATTTCATTGTTGACAAGAGAGTTCGGAATTTGTAGGCAAAAAAACAGAACAAAACGAAACAAAAAACAAAACCTTAGTTCAAAAAGTCAACTCTGCCCGTTACATTTTGTGAGACCTCAGACAAGTCCTGTTTTTTTTCTTTTTGCTTTTGTTTTTAACCTGTGTGATGGATATAATAACACAATCTGAGCCTTCAGGTTTTTGCTATGATTAAATGAGAGAATACAGACAGGTAAAAGCATCTAACATAGTTCCTGGCACATAGGCTGCTCAATAAATGTTTACTGAATCTGAATTTAAAATATATACGTCACCCAAATTGCAAATATTAGTGTCTGTATTCATCCACAGACATGACATCCCCGAGTTAGATATGTTTCTGATTTTACATCTTCCAAATTATTTGGTCTTAAAGAAGTTATTATATATATATATGTGTGTGTGTGTGTGTGTGTGTGTCAGGTATTTGAAAAAAAAAAGTGGCTCTGTATAGGAGCCTTCTATCTTTATGTAAGTTAATAAAGAGGCTAGGAATGTTCTGCAGGTTTCAGAAATCTGGCGGCTGTTACTTTAACTCTGCAACTTAGACAGAAGACTTCTGTTTCTTTATGAGCACACTACAGTGAATATTTTGTCTAGCTGCAGGGGAAAAGCTTTGTCATGGACTTTGCAGACAATAGCCTTAAAAGTAAAATGGTCTGCTTTTGGTGCCGGGAGGTTCAGGGGCCTATTGTTAGTGCACAATGGATTTCTATTGCTGCATTCCTGCTTTGCAAAGGTTTGTTAGCTTTTAATGACTGACAGTACTCTATTGCAAATACCGTATTGGCTGTACCCTGTTTACATGCTACTCAAGAATTTTTGTGGAGTGCTGGAAAAAAGAAACAGTGGTGTTTGTTTGACCTACTCTGATAAGGTTTAAAAAATGATTTCGCTCATGAAGTGCTTACTGGGAATGTAGAAACATTGGAAATCCGTGCAGAAGTATTTTAAAGTTACTTTGAAAGCCTCAATGAACAGAAATATTGATTACAGTACGAAGAGATTTAAGCCGTTTTATTACTCAGAATTGTCATTACCATTTTCAAAACCACTATGGTACAGAAAGAGGGATATTTGAAGAAAAAGTAAAAGCAATTTCTTAGGATCTGTCTTCCTTAAAGTGTAAGAAGTGGAGATACCTTGTTACAAAGGAAAAAAAAATACAACTTACACATTCCGTAGTAAATTCCATAGTAAATGTGTACACAGTAATTGTAGGTGTGTGTGTGTGTGTGTGTGTGTGTGTATGCACCATATGTATAGACCATAGACTATGTAAAGCAGTAATCATACAGATTCACTATTTTATTTTCCAGAAGTTTTTGACATCTGGGAAAAAAAAAAAAAAAGCGTTCCATATTGTCACAGTTTTTCCAAGGAAATTTCACCTCTACTTTTTTGAAAACTCCACACGGGCTTTGAGACTCTGACAGTCAATGGCTGTAAGATGGAGGCCTGAGAGAAGTAGATAGCATTAGCCAAAGATGATGATGACGCCTTAAAACGCATTTTACTGTGGGGAAAATGAACCAGTTTCTAATAATCTTATGGTCTCTAGGCCAGACGGTCCCTTTGATAAGTTAACATGTACTCCCTTTATGCTCCTAGTAGGGGGTAAACAAATGTCTGAACAAACACAAATACACATAAACACCAATGTGGAGAATGGCAGTGTATGTCTTAGATCCAGATACTAAGTGTGGGTATTGTTATTTAGATGGAGCATACTGGGACACTTATCTTTTAGTACACTCCATTTTCTAACTGAATGCAGTGCTAATCGTGGGATTGAAAGCCATTGTAATTGTGTACCCATCTAAATGCTGACAAGAATATACAATTATATTGTTTGGAATTGAGTTTAATGTTTGGGAGTTTTATTAGCATTTATGTTTACTTATACATTAAAATTCAACACAAAAGAAGAGGTCAAAAACCATGTGATATATAGAAGCAAATATCAGACTAAAGCATAACCTTGCTCTTTAAAATATATGTGCCCTGTCTCAATACTGGGCATTTTAAAAGAATGTGAGACAAATCTGAAATAAGCAAATAATAGGTTTCCATTATAGGCATTACTCACTTTTCTAGATTTTGCAATCTTTGTAAAGCTTCTTTTATACCAACTTTTTTTTTTTTTTTTTTTAGTGTTCACGTTCACGGTACTGGCAAATCTTTCCACAGTGTGCTTACCACCATACGATGTTAAACACATATTATAAAGTGGATGTAATTGTAAACACACAGAGGGATATAATTACACGTAGCAGATTTAAGAGCTAATTCTTTGCCTTTTTTTTTTGCTCTGCATTTTATCAACATAATTATTTTTTGACTGCAGACTAACACCCTGAAATTGACAAGCATCTATTATAGCAGGAATTTGTTCACCAAATTGAAAAACAATGAACTGCAGGTTTATATGTACCCATTGTCATAAAGAATTAGTACGGCTTTGTTCCGCAAGAAGAAAAAGCTAATGATTTTGAAACAGCAGGTGACAAAACACAGTCTTCTCCCCACCCCCCCTCCGTTATCAGTTTGTTGATGAAGTCATTATGAACTGGGGCCCGGATAGGGATGGCCTTATTTTTAGCAGATAGACTTTTAATGAGCTGCATTGTAAAGATAGTCGTGTTGATTTGCTTACATTTTTTTTTTCTTTACTTAGAAACCCCCAGTATTGAAAAGCTACTCTCAAAGGACTGGAAAGACAAACTTCTTGCAATGGGATCAGGGAACTTTGGTGAAATAAAAGGTAACATATTTGCAATTATTTTGATCTAAAATGTACGAAAATGAAGTTTATATTTTGAAATATAACAGTGATACAGTGCTTCTCCCCCCATCCCCTCCTGCCTCATGTATTCTCTGTCTTTGGTGTTTCTTCCTTCTAGCTTGAAAGTGGATGTGTCAGGGTTCTTATTTTCTCTTTGTTTGTGCCTTATTAGATAAATGGAATGTCATTTTAACAGAATAACCCCACTGTATCTTCAAAAGGCTTTGGTTTTCATCATTTAAAAAAAAAATTTTAATGATTTACCTTGTAAGTAGGAATGTATTTACATCAGGGTTAAAAACTGCCTATTATGATGATTTTATACATTCTACATATTAGAAGTGTGAATGTACATAATCTACATTTAAAACCAGAAATGATGAATGCAGAAAGCTTAATAAAGGTTGTTTTTCACTAATGAGAGCAATATTTTTGGTTTGGTTTTATTTGAATCAGACATTACAAACAACTAAGAGAAAAAGTCTGTATGGACTTCATGATACTGAATATTCATATCTTAATAAACTTTTACTAATAACAGTGGGAGAGGGCTTAATTTCTCATATAAAAATAGAATCAAATGGTCATTTCAGTTAATTTTAATGTGTGTTTTCTCAAAGCCTAGTAGGCAGTCTATGGTTTTCTATTTGTTGCCAATAGCACACTTGATTCTGAGTTCTAAAGAATTAATTTTGAGAAAAAAAATACTACTTATTCATCAATATTAAAATATTTCGTTATATATTACTCTATATTTTTTGGTAGAAGCTGAATATATTTAAAATATCACCAGATTTATATTAATATACATGTAGAAATATGTGTATAAATAACTTTTTTGCATATGTATGTATGCGCACATGTTCTCCCAATGAAAAAGGCAATTGTCTTTCTTATGGCTCTGCTACACTGGAGCATCCTAAAGAAAGGCAGGACACTAGCATCTCAGCATTTGGAAACTTCCAGAAAATGCTGGACTGAATATTTCACTTTTCATCCATTCTACTTGAAGTTTACGTATATTCAGGTTATGGTTAAGTAGACCTTGATGGTGAGAGAAAGAATGGGGGCTAATCAACACATTCAGTAACCAAAATCTATAATGGAATCAAATTCAAACAGATAATAATTTGTATGTCTTAAAGAGCTTGAAGACCAAGTTTAAAGAGAACAGAGAAATCTCTCTTCCAAGGCAGCAGATCCTTTATATTATTATGTTGGATTTTTAACCCATTTGCACCCGCGGTAGAGGATGTGTTCTCTCCAACGTTCTTTATTCTCCTCTGACCTGAGTGAAAACTGAGAGTAGAACAGAGAAGACCGCCTGTTCCAAGCCTTGTGATCTCATTCCATTGGAGGACAAACATTTTTCCCTCCCTCGTTTTCTTCACAAGTCAGACTTAAAAGCCGCCACGGCAGTGAATGTAAGCTTGGAGGAAAGCAGCTCCGCTCTCCTTTCAGGCTTGCCTGTGGGGTTAGTTCAGGAAGCTGTAGTACAGTCAAAAGAAGTTCCGTCTTTAATTTTGAGTTTTTTAAGCTTCACATTCAGAGCATAAGTTTGGTGATTGTCCTCTGGTTCTATTCAAAAAAGCTGTTTTCTGATGCATTTAAAAGGCAACTGTGGATCTTTCTTTGGTTGGGGGCATGGTTATTAGGTGCTTGGATAGGTTTGGCAGAAAACTGGGAAAATAGCGCTGGCTTACTTTTCCTACTGACTGCCCGTGACAGTTGCAATTACTCTCCATTGTTCATAGGTGGCTAGAAAGTGGAAAGGATACAATAGTGTGTAGCCCTCTGGGGGTAAATGAATTTGACTTAATGGTTCTTGGGGGGTCAGACACTATGATTATGCCATGCCCAGGAATGTGGTTTTCATGCCACCTTAGAAGAAGGTGTGTGAGAACAATGACTTAGCTGTTTGGCAGGTTTTTTTTTTTTTTTTTTTATGAAGCAAATGAAGGTGTAAGTCTCGTGTATGTGCGCACTGTTTTGGGTTGAGGTAGGCAAGAATAAGTGTGAGCTTTTCTTTATCTGGAAATATGAACTCATTCAACTATTAGATGATGAGCGATAATCGAGAATAATATATTTAATACACTCTTTGCATATGTTAGCACAGGTACTGCCTTTACAGTATTAACCAAGTCTTGTCAACTGAAACTTTTCTCCTCTGTTTACACTGGTCAGTTTTCATTTAACTTTTAATTAGTTCCAGAAAACATGTGAGTGAATGAGTGTGTGTGTGTGTGTGTCGTGTGTATGTGTGCATGTGCGCGAGCGCGAGTGCACCTATTCTTAAAATCAAAAACTAGCCAAGGGAGAGCAGAGCTCAGTTCCTAAGCACTGGCTTCAAGCTGCTGCATGTGAATTAATTTCAGGGCATTTGGACAAAGGTTAATATTACAGATTGGCAAAGTTCAAAGAATTGTTTCTTGCTATCACTGTTTAAAAAGTTAAAATGATAAACTTTTAAAAATAGGGGAAATAAATAGCATTTGGTTTGGATGTTTTAGCTATCCATAAGTAGTTGTCATACCCACTTAAAGTCAATCTCATTTTTCAAGAAACAATGTGGGTTAGTAAAGGTCACCCACTTCTGAAAGCATAAAATTATTTCTCATGTTAGATTATTTTGCCTGTTAGAATTTATACCATTTTATGGTCTGGTACCTTGGAAATGTGAAGTAATTAGGTTTTAAAGTTACATTCAAAACAGCCCTCTAAAAAACATCCAAAAAGGACACTAGATCCAGTTTTGCCGAACGCAACTGTGTGACTGAAAAGCTTGGCCCACCGTCAATATATGTGTATCCACTGATGAGCTGCCGGAAGAAATAATTTATTTCTTCTTCTCCAGTCAGCTATCTTGTGCAGACCGGTCAGCTTGCGGGGTTTTTTGTTGTTATCTATAGCAGAAGCACTGAGTAACGGTTGTGTGAGGTGAAGAAATACCTCTTAGAGCCTCATAGTTACGGAGAGGGCGACAAAACCGCGCCTGCTCTCCCCTTGGCAACGGGGCCATCACACGTTGTTTTAGCTAGCATGAAATTCCATTACACTGAAGGTCATTGCATTGGCACTTCACCTGAGCACAGTATCTGGGGATCCGTGGCAGCTTTGACTCATCTAAACAGATCATTTTCTTTTCAATAAAGTCATTGCAAGAATTTGTATTTTACGGACTTAATTTTTTTTTTTTTTTTTTTTTTTTGTAGAATTGTGACCAAAAAATCTGCATGCAGAATTCTCGCAAATATTTCTATCTTGGTGAAGTTAGAAAAGCAGGGCGTTGTCTGAGAGGTTGTCCAGGTGCCTCAGATAAGCCCAAATCAGTTTTGCCACCTGCCTTGTATAAAGAATTCTTCAGAGCCTGGTTTCTTTGCCATTGGTATCTCTGGTAGGCCCTTTCTGACCCTGCTCAGAATGCATTAATTTAGGCCGGGAAAATGTTGTATCCGGTATTAAGAAAAATGCCAGCTGCAGTTGGTATAATAAAAAATTGGCTCTTTTGAAAGCTATAATTTTGTTCTTTCTAGAAGATGGAACATAAAGGCAAACACCAGACCGCTCTAGAATGCCAGTAATAGATTCGAGGAAATAACCTATTCGGTGATATTTTGGCCTCTTAGAACTCATGATAAATACATGCTCTTTAGATCCCACATGTGGGTTAAAGTAGATCCTCTGTTAGGTGACATAACATTTTGAGATAAAAGAGGTGTGGATTCAGTATGTGGCTTGAAAGAGATAATTCTGTTTAAATGACATTAGACGATTTGTAAACAAATCGGCATGGAATAAGAATCTGGTCCCAGGTAATAAATCTAGTAAGGGATCCTTAGAATTTTTAAATTTAAAACATGAAAACTAAAATCCCCGTTTAGTTACGTAAGGGCTTTTGTCACTTTGGAAGTTGTTTTAAACCCTTTCTTTTAAAATCAGAAAAACTAAGAATCACATGCTTTGCTCATACTTTGTGACTTACTTCATTTGTACATTAACCTAAAATATATGCCTGCACATTTTTATAAAAGGGTTGGAAATGTTGATTATTTTTTGAGGGAACTGTTGCCTCTGAAACGTGTTCAATGCAAGAGTCAGCCGTGAAGAAGGTACATAACACATAGACATTTACTTGTAAATAAAGTGAATGCTTAATGTTTTCAATCTACTAAGCTTGTTTTATAGTTCCTCTGTAGTTGCTTATGAGTCGTGTGTTCACTTTTTTTTAAAAAACTACTTTGTGAGAACCGAAGAAAGACTACTGGTCCATAGCATATGAGGTTTGGCAAGGTCTGTCAAAGTGACAAAAAAGTGACTTTATGTTTCCTGCCCATCAGTGACTTGCTCTGTCCCAGAATGCCAGAGACTTTATGCCTAAACAGAGCAAGTGATGGAAAGAGAATGGTCAGACATTGGATCTCATTGATTTCTGTATTGCTGATCTAGTTCACGAATTAAGAAGTTTTATATATCTTTCAAAGAAGGTACTTAATAATGCATGTTTTATTTTTTATTTTTCATTTTTAAAAAGATTTATTTATTTTATTTTAGAGAAAGAGAGAGAGCAAATAGGGAGAGGGGCACAGGGAGAGAAGCTTCAAGCAGATTTCCCGCTGAGCGGAGCCCAATGAAGAACTCATCGCATGACCCATGAGATCACGACCAGAGTCAAAACCAAGAATCAGATGCTTAACCAACTGAGCCACCCAGGCACCCCAATAATGCATGTTTTAAACAGATACTCTTACATATTAAATCTGATTCTGTATTTGAAAATAAAAATGTGCCTTCTTCAATATTTTTTTTCTCATTTAAAAATACATTCATTCATTTAATGAGTATTCGTTCATGCAAGGGATGTGAAGATTCTAAAACTGAAACAATTTGGGGTGCCTGGTGGCTCAGTCGTTAAGTTGTCTGCCTTCGGCTCAGGTCATGATCCCAGGGTCCTGGGATCAAGCTCCTCATCGGGCCCT